GTTTTTTTTTTTTTTTTTCCATCTCATCATCGTTGTCTCGTCTCGCGTCTACTGCTACTGCCCGGCACGTTAAACCGTACGGTTTGGGCATTGCTTCTTCTTCTGTTTTTTTTTTTCATACTCTCGATCGTCCACGTATATATACGCCGGTGTTTATCTTGGCGATGCCAGGGCTTTTTAAAATTTTTTTATTTTTCGGGTGGCCCTGATTGTTCCGTTTGGAAACGAATGTACCTCCTCCCTCTCTACGTATTTAGCACATGAGTGTGATGGACCACTAGAAGGAGAGCATGATTTTCTCTCGGTTTTAACGTTACAATATTTTGACCGCGTCGTGACTTACCCAACGGCTCGAAGCTAAAACAGCGTGTGTATAATATATGTACACGGACAATAGCCCCGAAAATATATTACGCGTATTTTCCCCCAATGAAAAGTTGAACCTCGGAATATTTCAGTCGAAAGTGGGCTCGAGGAGAAAGAAAAGGTGTACCTGTCGTAAGAAAAAGTAGCCGAGGTAAGAAAAAAAAAAAAAAAAAAAAGTAACGGAGAAAACCAAAAAAGAAAAAAGAAATAAAAGAGAGATAAGTCGCGTGGGAGAAGCGAGGAGAGAGAGAGCGAACAAGCGAGCATAGAAAAATGAGAGAAGGTATATGGAGGGGGAGAGGGGGGGGGGAGAAAAAAAAGGAGTAAGTATGGATCCGCGAGCTTAATCCTGATTAATAATATAACTGCGGGAGTCATGCCGAGCTAAAGGGGGACAACCGCCTCCTCCTTTTTCTATACGCTTACCTGTATATACATAATATAGGTGCGCGTGTTGGCCGGGCAACAATTTGAGTGACCGCTCTGCCGCAGTGTTGTGGGTTGTTTTGTTGCTGCATGCATTACAATGTGGTCGCATAGGCAATCGCATGATAAAAACAAAAAAAAAAAAAAAAGGTGCGCGCGCGAGGCTCGGGTGAAAAATAAGGCGCATCTGTTGCACGTATGTTATGTACAGCTGCGACTTGTGTGTGTGGAAGAACACGACGCGGAATGCCTAAGCAGCTTAGCTTGGCGTGCATTATATATATACGCATGTATGTATGCACCTGTGTGGTGTACAGGGGCCCATGATGCCCCGATGCCTAGATTGTATATACATATATATGACTCTGCTGCTGGCCGAGAGACAGAGGCGCGACACTAATTCCTCAACTCAACTCCCCGTCGGCGACACTACTCCCGCGCGACGCTTGTCACATATTAACTTAACTTCTTAATACCCGAGCGTGTGTGTCCGCACGCTTACGTCTGCCTACATCGTGTATTATATTGTAACGTTTAGACGCGCAAAGTCCCTCCTCCCCGAGAGCCCTCTTCACTCTATATACACGATGTATGTATACACATATATGTGTGTATGTATACGTGCATTCCTCTTTATCGCGCCCTGATGCTCTTGGGGTTATTTTTGGCCTCGTGCACCGCGAAACTGGTCGTCAGCGACTCGGTAGTCGTCATAATCTTTGGTAATCTCGTCCCAAAGTCATCCAAAACACGGCTCTTTTTTTTTTTTTTTTTTTTTTTTTCCACGGGATTAAGAAAAAAAAAAAAAAATGTTTTGGCACGGATTAAAATTGCCAAAGCCATTTGTACGACACGTGCGTGAGAAAGAGATCGAGTTTCGATCGAGGTCTGGCCCTGGCGAATCCTTGCCCTCGGCCAAATAAATCTGCGTGCACGTATAACGAGAATCCAAGTGATACCGGTTAAAAGCGCAGCAGAGATGAAGCTAAAAGCTGCCGGCTGCCTGTATACATATATACATATCTCCTCCTCTTTCTCCTCCCTCTAAAGCACGCGAAACCGAGCAAATATAACCGAGGCTCCGGGGGCCCTCCCTTTTTTAGTGTAGATAAGTAAATATAGCAGCAGAAAAGGGAAAAGACGAAGCAGAAGAGGCAGCACTTTGTCAATGAGTCCTTTGCGTTGCTGCTGGCTTCCTCTCGGGCCGGCAACCCGTACATATGGTATTATAAAGCTTGTTTGTCCAAGATAAACACATTTCGTTTACACGCGAGAGAAGGTAATCGCCGTGTCCTGCCTCTCTTTAACAAGCTGCTGGCGATGCTTGTATATGTACATACACCTACCGAAACTCATACGCCTATACTTGATTGCTTGCTTGCTTTTTCAACCCCGCAGTGCAAATAATGTAATTAGGTATGCGCGTATACGGGGTCGGGGAAATAAACAAACTCTTTTATTCGCTCGTGATTCTAGTGGCATCGGTTAATCGCAGCTCCGGTAGAATCGGTCGTGGGGAAGAACTACTCGCTTGGAGGGGCGCTTGGGAATATTTGAGAGGGGGAAAAGGGGGCGAGCTCGAGTAACCCGAGATGATGTTTGCGCGAGGACAACATTTGTCGTGTGTGTGACATCTCGTTGTTCGCGGATACTATATATATGGCGCGTAGGTTACATTATAATATTATATACACACACCGCGTGATGTGTACCTACTTTGGAAAAGGAGTAAGGTATACATGTGTGATACACGAGCAGGTGCAAAATCGGACACGTGGCGAGAGTATATAATGTATATATAGTGTGTACAATATACATATATACATATATACCAAAGACGGGTTGCGTGTGTGTGTTGGCCTTCGATCAACATTGCCACGTCGGTGCAGGCGCTTCCGAGGGAGCGCCGCCACTTGTTTCGCGCTGCCGTGTCTTTTGCCTCCTCTTTTTTTCACTTCCCTGCCTCTGCTGTTGCGCCACCTTGTCCCTTCCTTCCGTCTCCCCCTTTGCTACCCTTCCGCGGACGACCTGCAGCCCCTTTGTACCTATATACTTTTATATAGCCTCTCTCGCTTCTCTCTAATAATTGTATTAACAGTGAGCTCGCGCGCGTCTTTTAACCATTGCTCCGACTTTGCGGCAATAATTGTGTTCTCCGACCCGAGGCTGACAATGGTGAATTTTTTTTTTTTTTTTTTTTTTTCTTTCTTTTCAGGTTCAAGACAAGAGGGTCGATTGATCGAGTTGCCGAAAAACAATAGTCAACTTTTATAATATATAATAATCATTTTAGTTGACCTTTGAAAGAAAGTCACGCGCATCTTAATATTAACATCACGTAATACGATAGCACAACAACCTTGCATACATATTTCGTTGTTTCTGTATCAATAAGAACATCGCGAGTATCATTTTTTTTTTTCTTTCGTAACGCGTGTCTCTGATGTTCACGTGAGTATATTCACCACATTTTTCCGTAAATGTTTACGTGCAGGACCTTTTTCACCCCCACACGATTTTTTTGAAGAGCAATTCTGAATTTCAAGCATACGAAAACGGGCCAACGATGCCTTCATAATGGCACTCTGTGGCATTTTCTTTTGGCCGTCTAATGGGTTGTTTCTTTTTCGTCTCTTTCCCACGACTTATTGTACAGATAGAATTTTTCTCTCAAAATTCCTAGTGGATTACCGTCATTATTGTTTTTTCAGCCATATTTTCCCTTTGCAATCAGTACATAATTATTCTCATTTCCATTTCAGGGTTTCTTTTTTTTCTTTCACTTTCCCCTACTTTGCAGTTTTCTTTGTCTTTTTTTTTTTTACCGTATAGCTACGGGAGGATTATCCGCTTGTCCCCTATTCAACTTTTTCGTCGTTCTACCCGCGCGCCAAGATTTCACCTGTAGAACCGAGGAAAAAGATTGCGAGGAAAATTCCGAGAAAACCCCGCCCTCAAACAGCTGGCGTCAAGGTTGCATTTTCCAGCGAAAACAGAGTGTATATATACGCACAGCAGAGAGATCGTGACCCTTTGAGCGAAATGCTTCCGTCACCACCACTCAGCTATAACGACTGTTTTGCCATTTTTTCTTTCTTTTTCCTTACTTTTCTTTTAAAGATTGTAACAGCGTAAAAATTATCATTGACAATTTTTTTTCTTCCTAGATTTCTTGCACACTGCAAGACACAACACTGTATCAATCATGCTCACAACTGTGTTACATTATAATTGCTTGTTTTACACGTTTGAGAAAATTAGTGGCCATTCAACATCGTAAATCAAACGAAAGCTTGAATCGTAGTAGTAGACGATAAAAAAAAATGTGTGAAAACCCATGAAAAGTTGACATTTAGTGTCAAAGCCACAATCACCGGGTCGACGATTGGTGGAGTTTCCGATTCGTCTTTGGTTTCAAAGTAAGGAGACGAAGATCGCCAAGCGAGAGAAGGAGGACGGAAAATGGGTATACCGCGCGCAGCTCGTGTCGCGTGTTTATAGCACCGTCGAGTATCCCTTTCCCCATAACAATACCGCATCGGGCGACGTTGCGTACGAGAGATAAAAATAGACGGTATCGAATGAAAGGCGATCAAACGAAGCGACATCGGAAACGCCAAAGCGAGACAAAACACAATTTCGCGGCTTCATCAACGACTGCTATACATTAATTCCCGCCTGACTTTGGCTGCTCCGCAAAGCTCCGCGCACAAAAACGATCGACCTACCGATATACATAATATACCCATGCCTACGAGCTCGCAAAATTATTGCCAATTGCAGCAAAAGGGGGGTAGGGGGCACCAGTGCTACACATACACAGAAGAACGGAATTCGAATGGCCGGGAGGTGAAATTGATGCTAGCGTCGCTGATTATCTCGGCGCGGGTATCTTATTACCCGCAGCTTATAATTCACTGATAGCGAACTACGGAGCTCTCGAGCGTGTGTGCATGTCCATACACACGCATGCAGCGGCGGCGGACAATTAAAAAACCAAAGAAACCCGCGGGTTTTTCATTCTTTCCTTCCCGGCCACATGCACACATTGGAGCTTTTTTGCTCGATGAGCTTTCAGCTACGGGTTCGAATTTGGGGTGGGGGGTGGGAGGTATTTTATTTTACAAGGAAGAGAAAAAAAGCGTTGTACTCACGAGTGGTGGTGTCCCGGGTGATGGTGGTGGTGGTGGAGTTGCTGCTGCTGCGGCTGGTGGTGGTGGTGGTGGTGGGGCGGCGGTGGCGGTGGCGGGCCGAGGCTCTGGTGCGGGGGGTGGGCGGCGTGGAAGCCGGCAGCCAGAGCCGCGGCGGCGGCGTGGTGCTCCCAGGCGAGGGCGGCCGCGTGGTGGTGCGGGTGGAAAGCCGAGGCGGCCGGCTGGTGCGGGTGAAAGCCGGCCGCCGCGTGAAAGTGCGGATGCGGTCCCGGGTGGTGGGGCGGTGGGGGCGGCGGCGCCAATAGGGAGAACACCTCCTGGTGGTAAGCCACTTCCTTCTCCGGCATGGCGCTCCTGTTCGGCGCTCTTCGATCAGGACCCTCTCCGACGGCGGCTCCACATAACAACTATGTACTTACATGTACAACAACTGCGCGGATCGAAACGATTAATTGAGTATCACGCGGAACCCCACGTCGATCGTATAGCACTTTTTTCACCGATTACCGATCTCTCACTGCTTTTTGACGATTAAATGACGATACCCCCTATGGATCTCTCTCGTACGCGAGTACACCACCGTATTATATTTATACGTATAACAATGTACAATAATATTTTGCACTTGACGGTCCAGGCTGGCTTGCCCAACGCGAAATAAGTACCAATGTAAATCTCACTGTAATATTATTCGATGGAAAAAAAATGGTCTAAGGTATGAAGAACAGAAATGGAAACGACGATGGTAACGGGCACTAAGTACTTATTGCTGGTCCCGCGATCGCCGACGACTATATTGCGGCTGCTGGGGCGCTACTGAGGCGAAAACACACAAGAGCGACATAGAGCGCGAGTGCGCGCCGCTCTCTCTCACTCACTTTGTGTGAGCTTGAGCTTACCCTCCCCTCCCTTAGCGCTGCTGGTGGTGGTGCTGCTGGTGGGCGTGCAATTGCCGCGGTGGCGGCAGCATGGAGGAGAGTCGAGACGAGAGGCTTGGTGATGCAGCCGGGGCCGGCCATCGCTGAGCCTCTCCCTCGAGGGTGCGGGTAAAGGTGGGGCGGAGGAGAGGACGATCGGAGGACTCTGGACTCTCACGTGTATAGTTCTGTTATACTCGGTGTGGGTACCCCGGAGTAAGCGAGGCGAGGGGAAGAGCGCGTGTCAGTTCGACAACTCAACTAGCCGCCAGAGGAGGCTATCCCCACCGCTATGTCGCTTTTACCGCCCCTCCCGCGCTCTCGCACGCTCGGTGTATACACAATGTATACGTATATGTGCCAATGGAGTCCTCCGTGCACCTTAAAAACCTTGCCGATCTAGCTTCGCGACCCTGCGTGCACACAGTCACGAAGCTCCTATACCGATCAACCGATATATAGGATGATCGGTGGTACAAGGTGTACCTATATAAATATTCTCTCTCTCTCTTTTTTTTTCTTTCCCTCCGTATTATATATACCTGATGTCTACCTGATGTAAGCTTATATATACATAGCTCCTTCGGAGGTGTAATCGTGTAGGCATTATATTATATTATGCACAGACTCGCCGTGTTTTTCACAGTTGTTCTACCTGCTAATAGCCCCCCGAGACCGCGGAGCGCTGTAAAAGTGTAATTAAAAGCGATTATCTGAGCCGTAAAAATTCCAACGGCTTCTCCGTCGTTAAGTCATATATATATTATATATACATCAGTATTCCCATCAAAGTAACACTTTCGTCAAAATAAAAATTTCTTTCAACAGCGGTAATACGCTGCACGAATATACGTACAAATATATTTACGCGGGGGGTAACGTTTCGTTATGTTTGGAGACAAAAATGTTAAACAAACAATCGGATTATTCGAGCAACGACAAAGACGCACGCGAAAAGTATGCGCGTTGGATTTACAACCGGCGAGAAGAATGGAGCCGATTAGCAACATTTACCTGTTAAGCCGTGGCCTGAGAGTACTTATATATTGTCGGAGTGACGATTTTTCGGTAAGCCGTGCATAGGTACACGGGATATAAGGACGGTTATTGTTTCGCAGAATTCGAAAGTATAGACGCGAAACCTATGTACAATACATTCTGCCGCATAATGTATACCTGCGCATAGGGATGCAAACGCCGAGAGTGTATGTATGCACGGGGATGCCCCCGCTGGGCTCGGGGGTATTGTTCCCTTCTCCTCGGCCCTTTTGGAAGGTAGATTTTTGAATACCCAATATATGGGCGTGCACCCATAACCGGGTATATACCTTGTAAAGGAGCGCATTGTCGCGTTAAAAAGGTGCGTCAATCGGATTTGCCTCGAATTTTCCGGTGCTCCATTGTCGGTGGTAATCGGCACGATCATTGCCAGTTGACGCGTCGATTTTTTTTTTTTTTTTTTTTCCCTACATTTGGGGGAAAAGCGAAAAATCAGAGAAATCCGAACCCCCACACATGTGGCTCATCCGCGCAACCCACCGCCAGTTATAATATTACACTTACGAGCAATGTGGCGATGGGCATGATGTTATTACTTCCCCCCTCGATGCCACCCGAGATTTTGAGGCCCCGAAAGCCCTTAAGTAGCAATTTCCGCTGCCCACCCCCGGTCCTCGACGAGCTTTCTACGAAGCGCAGCGAAGACAGCCAGAATCTCGGTAAGTGTACCCATCACGCGCATCCCTCCTTGCACCGACGACCGGTCGCTGTCACTTGGTTGTATTTTTTCTTCTTTTTTTAATCTCATTTGTTTTTTCCTCCCTCCCCCGATTCTTCCTACTCCCGTTTCTCACGACACCATCGACTCTTGTTGCTCGAGCGGATTTATCAATTTGTATATACATATATACTCGTGTACCATTGCAATGGACACTAAGTTTGACGAGCGCACTGTATGTAAGTACAAGAGCAAACAGAAGAAGGACAAAGGAAGAAGAAAAAGAAGAAGAAGAAGGGATGAAATTAAGAAAAGGAGGAAGTACGAATTGCTACGTGGGAGGGAGGGAGGGAGCTTTGCTGGAGTTCGCATTATAGAGCCATTAAGTGGTCGCTGGCTCGTTGCGGTTGTCCTCGGCGGCGGCCGAGATATCTTCCCCTACTTGTCTCTCTCTCTCTCGACTCCCATGCAGAGTCCCATCAGCCGAGCCGATGCTCCCTCTCGTCGGCGCCTATATAGCACCTAATTACTCTATCCCGGCGACGACACACGTCCACACGTACGCACCTACCCCTCCGTAGCGCTTCTTCTATATATTATCTATACGTATACCTCGTACATGTATATTTTTTACACGTATATATACCCACAATTCCCTCCCTGAAGCTGACGTTGGGCTTGCTTTTTTTTTTTTTTTTTTCATCGCGCGCGGACAGCATCGATTGGCCGGTCGGGCCGATCAAAGCGAATAGCTAAACCGCAGCTAAATCACACCCAGTTCGGACGATCATTATTCCTTTCTTTCTTCCTTACCCTCCCACCTCCGCACCCCCTTGGCTGCTCATCTTTTTTCATATATATACACACACGGAAACTGTCCGCGCGTGCGATGCTTTCGGGTTTCGAGAATTCAAATCTATCCGCGACTCTCTTTCGTGTATACGATGCGACGTACCCCGCGTAAGAGTAAAATGAACGCAAAATGAATAGACGAAAGAAGAAAAAAAAAAAAAAAAAATCGGCCCGTAGTGCCCCCACATCGCACGAAGCCGTTAATTTCGCCGATATGCTCCGTTTTGCATATATACGTGTGTGTGTGTATATAATATAAATATATACACATGCCAAAAATACCATATATAGACGCCGGATGAATTCTCGGAAACAACTGCTCGGCAGCACATAAATTAGCAGTCACCATCACCGGGCAACCCGGTTTTATTTCGACTATATATGTATATACATATGTACGTAGGTATATGCTTGCGCGCGTGTATAGAGTTACCCCTCGAGAAGGAGAGCTTAGATCGTGAAAGCGACCGATGAGCGTTTCGCGGATATGTGCCGAAACCGCGCTCTCCCGTCCCATACTCCCGCGTATACAGGGTATTATAATATAATACTGTCGTCGCAATACTAGCTGTATCCTGATGTACGTAGTGTAACCTCGTATGGGTCCTTTTCTCTTTTGGTTTTATTCCGTTTGGTGTATATATAAGTATACACAAGACAAGCCATGATGCGACCGCGCGAGAAAACGTCCGGGCTTGTAATACTCTACCACCGTAGTCGTCGAGAACTCATCAACCCCGAGGCCGGTGGACTCGGCAAAAAGTGCTCGGGTACTTATAAGTACTTACCTGATGGGTGTGCACACAGGCATCATAGGTGATGCTTGTGTATATATTATATACGTATCAAGCGCGCTCGGGTCCGGCGCGCCGGGAGCAAAAAAAAAGCGCAAGATGCTGTGTCTCTGATGTGCAGTGTACGTATATATATATATACACGCCGAAGCAACACTCGGTGCATACTTGCACAGGGGTACATATATGTACTCAAGATGATGATGCTGCTGCACTACATGTGCGCACGTGTGTAATATGTGTGTGTACGTAGATATATATGTGCCGGAGGCCAAGGGCCACGACATTATTATATATACCTACCCGAGGAGCATCAGCGACAGCCGAGCTGGCAACATCGCGCTTTTTCTCTTTTCTCCGTCTCTCATCTTCTTCTTGAGCTCGAGCTCCCGATGCTGATGGTGCAGCTTCTCCTTTGCTCCGTGTGGCTTGTACGCGATCATGCCGTGTATACAGCGGCACGGTAGGTACCTCTACGTATGTGTAAGATACTTGCACAGCATCCAAACCCTCTCTCTCCCTCTCTCTCGATCGCGTGTAGGTACGCGCGATTCTCTTCACGCGAGAGTGCCTCTTATCTTTATCCTCCTCCTCCTCCTCCTCCTCCTCCTTTACTTCCTACTCCTTTTACTTCCTCTTTGCTACGTGTACATATACACAGATATATATATATACATATATATATGTGTGTGTACATATACTTAAACCTTACAACATCCCTGTACCAGCATATGTGCGTATATATATGGTGTATAGGCGTGTACTTACACGATCATGCCCTGCTATACCTACAAGCGCGATCGGCAAGCCGCACGCATCTTGTTCCCATCCTCTCCTCCTCTCGATATAAATTAAGTCGTCCCCCTGGTTATACGCTTATACGTATACATATATATACGCGTTACCATGTTTATATTCGTATAATATACAATTCGATTGCATTTTACCCTGGGTGTGTTTATTATTTATTGTTTATTTGCCTTTCGTGCAGGAGTATAATATTCATGATCGAGGCGCCGATTTATTTACCGATCCGACTACCGATTTTTCACGCTCAAAGTGGAGGG